ATCACATTTGACTCATCGATGAAATAAACACATTATAAACACATTATGTGACACTTATTAGTGATTTTTAAAATTGACCAATAAAAATATTTCAATACGGGCAATAAATAGACTATTTATATCTAGTTAATTAGATTAACATTGTTCATCATTTATTTACCATAATGTATTACAACTATCGCCTGTAGGTGTGGCCCAATTTGGGACAACAATGACGTTAAGTTGTGGCTCAAGCGCCACTCTAGAGGCCGTGTCCGCCGCTGAACCACAGCTTAACAAATGGTATCAATTATTTGTATACCAGAACCGAGAGGTGACACTAGACATGGCTCGTCGGGCACAGGCAGCCGGCTATAGCGCACTCGTACTTACCGTAGACTTTCCCGCAATTGGTTTACGGTATCATAACATTAAAAACAATTACCATCCGTCTGGCGAAGACCAGGCCAATTACTGGCCCTATGGCACCGATACGGCTATAGCAAATAATGCCACCTGGGCTGACATTACTTGGCTCAAGAGTCAGGTGCGCATACCGTTGGTTATTAAGGGTATACTGACGGCAGAGGACGCACGGCTGGCGGTGGACAGTGGGGCCGACGCTATACTGGTGTCCAATCACGGCGGCCGGCAGTTGGACGACGCGCCGGCCACTGTATGTAATGAAACAATTATTTTTTAAATTGATATAAAATTATTTGTTTTGTTATGTTTTTAATAGTTAGAGGCGTTGCCTGAGATCGTGGCAGAGGTGGGCCGCGAGTGTGAGGTCTATCTGGACGGCGGTGTCCGCAGCGGTACCGATGTGTTCAAAGCCCTGGCATTGGGCGCGCGGGCGGTGTTTGTGGGCCGACCCGTGTGTTGGGGTCTCGTCCATAGTGTAAGACATAAACATCTGTATTATTTGTTAATTAGTTTTTAATTATAATTAATTGTTTTTTGTATTATTTTAGGGTTCAGAGGGAGTGAAGAGTGTATTAGAGATTTTATATACAGAATTGGATAACATTATGACAATCACTGGCTGTTCGACCGTCGCATCCATTACTCCATCACATGTTAGATGTGTTGACGATTACACACAGGCTTTGCATGCATTTAATGAAAAATAAATTTAGTTTCTATGTTTTTTAAATTGTTTATTAATAAATCTACAATTATATATAAATAATAATGTCAGAATTAAAAATTTTTAATTTTAGTTGTTAGGTTTTAGTTTAGTTTTTAGAAGCTAGATTTTAAAATTAGATAAAAATGATATTATTTGAAACTAATGTAAACTTTGTATACATTTAATTATATAAATACGCCCACTGTGTATAGGGTGACCAAAACGTCCTTTTTTATGGGTTTTGTCCTTTTTTCGACCTCTGAAAACAGAGTAATAAAGGACGCGTCCTTTTTTTTAAATTTTAGTAATTTTAATATAAAAGGTTAATATGTTTTAAAATATGGGAAATATCATTGATTGCTATGCAATGTTGCGTTGTAAAGCTGTGAAGTTTAGACATTACAGCACACAAACAGTAAATAATAATAATAGAGTAGAAATATAATTAAAAATGTTGTAATTGTTAACAGAAAATACATTAATAAATTAATTAATGTCTGATCATTTGCACACCAGTTTATTTTCAAGTATTTTGTAAGAATATTCCCTTTTTACTAATTAGTTTGTGATAATAATAATAGAGTAGAAATATAATTAAAAATGTTGTAATTGTTAACAGAAAACTATTATAAAAATCAAATGATTTTGTTTATTAAAAGTGTTTTCATTTAAATATTCATTTAAAGTGTGTGACAAAATGAAGGAAAATGCATAGGGTTAAAAAAATTGCGTCCTTTTTGTGTCCTTTTTTAATGACTATTTTATATCAGTCGTCCTTTTTTAAGAGGATTTTTGGTGGTCACCCTAACTGTGTAACAGCATATTTTACTACATTTAAGTATACAGTATATTTTATAATATGCTCACTAAATTTTATCATTTATTAATCAGTGATATTTTTATGATTTATGATCATTTAATTTTTAGCGCTACACATATGAAACAGGACACACTATTCAAGTTATTAATAGTTTTAATTTTTAAGTAATATCTAGTTGACATTTAATTTTGACTATTCTTACATAATCTACTCGATTAAATTTTAATGTGCAAATTTATATAATAGATCATTATGAATTTATACTGTATTTAATGGTAATTAACTTAATACTTTACAATTCAGGTAAACTTAATATAATGTATATTACATAATATAATAAATTTGAATTTTTAACTTATATTTAATTTATAATTCTCATCACTAGAATCATTTTACTGCCTATAACTAATTACTATGTTATATATAACTTAGTTTAAATAGTTTACTGACATCATTATTATTATCACAAACTAATTAGTAAAAAGGGAATATTCTTACAAAATACTTGAAAATAAACTGGTGTGCAAATGATCAGACATTAATTAATTTATTAATGTATTTAATTATACCATCTAATACAGATCTTGCTGATAATATTTTATATTATTTGTTGATTATATTTTAATACTATATTTTATAGGAATGCTTAACATATCCCAATTAAAATGTTGTAAATAATACCATAAATATTAGTTAAAATAAGTTTATATTTACTTGAGTGCAAATAATACTGACTTATTATTTTCAGTTTAATAAATCTGTAATTAAAATATAATAGATATATAAATATGTTCATAAAAATATAAAAATTTTCAACATCGTTATAATCTAGTAAATCAGTAATACTATATTTTAAAAACCTAATGAAGGTAATAATAAAATAATTTACAATGTTAAAAATAGCATTATCACACTAATTAATTATAATTTATTGGTTAATTAAAAATATAAAACTCTAGTATAATCAGATTATTGCTGATATACTTTGCTCAATATTAAACAATGTTACACATGTAATATTGTCTTTAAATATAGGTAAAAATATATATTATTTTAACTTTGTATTCTTGTAACAATTAGTATTACAAAATAATTTATACTTTACACCATAAAAACGCGTGATCACAATTTATGCTTTAATTAATTACAAAAATACAATTTAGCCTAAATTTATTACTATGTTAAAAACCATTATCATAATTAATACTGAGCTCAGTTAGCGTACGGACAGTCTAAGTGTCGGTTTATCCATAAGTTTGTTTTAAAAAATTCTAAACCATATTATAATGAATTTGCTAATTATTGTAACGGCTATATTAATCGGCTGTGTGGCGATAAATGCTATGCCCGAGGTAAATATTAATATTTATAACAACTAAAATTATTCCAATTATTCTAACTTTATTGTAATTACCATATTTGACAACAAAAAATAAACTAGTTGTACGAGGGTGAAACTGAGACAGTGCCCAAGGTAAAGGTGGTTGTCTATTACTCGCCATTAAGCCAAAAAGCAATAGATTTTATCAAGCTCAACGCTAAGGACAACACCAAGGGCATATACGACCTTATGGTGCCCGCCACGCAAACTGAGTCTAAATTTAATGTGGAGGTCGATTACATACCATGGGGTCGGGCCACTCGCACCATCGATCCGACCACAGCTAAGCCTGTCTACAACTGTCCCGACAATGATGTACAGTGCAAAGCCACCAGATTGCATGTAGGTGTTTTTGAGGCTATATTGCTTATTTACAATGATTCAAAATTGTTTTTGATATTATAAATAATACCAATTAATAGCAATAAATCTGTTGTCTGTTTTATGTAAGCATACTTTCCAAAGATGAAATTTCCCACTGCCACTCCCTTTTGGGTGCAAAAATAAAACTCTATATTTGTTATAAAGTTATCTAGTACCTAAAGTACATAAACTGTTACATGCGAGAAACCTGTATGATTATAAAACAATGATTGTTGTTCGATAGTATTACACCCTATTTACGTTGATTAAAGTATAACCAGCATAAATTATAAATGTAATGCAAATGCACAAAAATAATTAACTAATATTTAACTCTCTCTCTCTCTCTCTCTCTCTCTAAACAGGGTAAAAAATGAGAGATGCAACTCACTTGACTGTATGGATATTGACAAAAATG